TCGTGTTACCGCCTCTCCTCGTGCTTGCTTGCACCGCACCGGCGGCCCTCCTCCCTGTCTCCCTTCCTGCGTGTCACCGCGCTCTCGTGTAATCGCCGGCGGATCATCACCGTCAGTCGATACCGATTGTGGCCATCGACTTCGCGCTCGACGCCGAGAGTCATTCACGTGAGGCGTGGTTTGTCACAACCTCCCTTTTCCGACGAAGTGCCTCAGAAAACTACGAGTTACTCTGCCACCGCCTCGTCTAAGTTTAATTTTACTGTTGAAGTTTTTAGATTTTTTTCATTGTTATGTTTTAAATGTTTACGTAATTATTAGTATTTTAGCATTGCTCCAGCAACTACTTTAGTATGAAACAACCCCACCCCTTCTTTGTAATGATTGTCTTGGTGTTGGCCGTCTTCTCAGTTATTCTGTTTCAGATGCTGTCGGTTCTGCGTCTTCAGCGCTGTTCCCTAGGTTTCTTATCGAGAGTACAAGTATTTTCTTGAATTAATTATCATCGTTCTCTTATGTCTCCTTCCGTGTCACCTTCCGATCGTCTTTTTTAGGTATGAAGTAGAAAAACAACACAGCACCATGTGAAGAAAACCAGAGACAGCAGAGCTTGCTTGCCATACAGCCGTAAATACTGCCTTCATAGACAAGGAAACAGATCGGCGCTCCACCATTCCCGCTCTTGGAAAATCTGTGGTACACACGCAGATCAAACTACCAGAGGCAAATACTGTTACCAACTTACAGCGTTTCTCTTCCTCACAGCTGTTCTACATTCACTTAGGTTTCTTTCGAGCGTCGTACTCACAATTTCTCTCAAGGTACTGAGCTCGAGCCCCTGCCCGGTCATTCGCTTTCCATCTTTCCGAGGTTGATAAATAAGCACCACTTCGTTTGAAGAGAACGAGACCATCGGTTATAGTCGTCGTTTAGTTGTAAATATAACTTTACGAAAACAAACTACTCCTGGTTAATAACCCAACATCAAAGATCATCGCTGCACCATAACCTCCAAGAAACAAAGGTTCCACAAATGCTGCCAAATGATGAAAGTGTGTAGGAGATTGAGGTTTCAGCAGTTACAGTCTCTCCTACTTTGTTTACTACGAAGATATAATTTGCACAACTTCGGTCTTATGGGATTAGGGTCGTGCGATTCCATATCATCTGCAAATTATTCTGCTAGTGTTGTGCAGAATCACCGGTCATGACGACATCTCGTACAGGACTGATAGTAAGTGAATTTTAGAATTTAGTGTTCTAACATATGTCTCCCATGTTAGGCGGGGCAGTATAGAGGTTTTCGTCATAAGGATCAAAATATAGTTTTCCTCTGTATGTTGTACAAGAAATGAAGTCGCATATTACTTATCGTCAGAAACATAAATGCTTAGGAAAGGGCTAATTGCCATGTCGCTGTTGTTGTTAATGTAATCCTTATTTTAACAGGACTCTGGTCGACGTCTGCTACCTCATCTGGTTGACCGACCGAGCAGTATTCAGTGATCATATAGATTGCGCCAGTTACAGTTGCGTAACCTCCTCCAAAGCTTGTAAGTTTGAGTCTTTCTTGCCAAAACAGCCCTTGCAAGCCATATGCAAAACTTTCAGTCTTTGGAGTGCGACGGGCTGTTTTTTATGATACCACGATTTCCACTCGATGACCCATCGGTGGCCGCTGAACTGGGCTACATGTCCAGCTCAGCTGTTTTACTCGCTCTGCATTTCGATGATGATATATTTTATTCCGGTTTATTTTGCTGATTACTGCGCTGAAATGGGAAGGAAAAGGAAAGTTGGTAAACTTTGGAATGTTGGTTTTTTTCACTTCCCTGATTAGGCCGTTTCGAAACTTTTCGTTTCATGAAGTTGATGGCATGGCGCTGTTCTCCGTTTCTGCGTCATCAGCCAGGACTACTTTATTTTTAAGGCAGATTCCATAGCCCATGTGGCAAGTGTAGCGCGTACCCTCCAATGTTTTTCTCACGGAATAGTGCTCATTCATGAATCTCGGAAGGCAAAAGGGCGAGCGACCTCATCCCAACCGAGGCTTGAACTCACGACTATCGTATCTGAATTCGACAGCCTATCGATTGGGCAACACCGATCTGAAGCAATATATAGCAAATTCCTTGCTCAAAGTAATTCACGACTAGAACCCTTGAACGAAATCGAACTCCGCACCCCGCTGCTCGACGTAGACCTCTTAGACAACCGTGCCAGCATTTCCCTGCGCTAGGGACATCTCTGGAAATCGAAATAGTCCGCATCCCTCTTTCCTGTGTTCCTCAGTAACGGGCAGCTGTTTTTCCTCCTATTTCATCATCGACCATGTCTCACTATGTAAAATATCGCCGCCTATACCGTTGGTAGCGGCATGGATACACAGTGCGTAACAGGCTGGCTTCGAACTCGAACCTCGTATTTGCCGAGGTCGGTCTCACGGCCGATGGCTCAATCTTTGTCTGTACCACGAATTCCCGTGCGTAAGAAATTTGCCACATGTTGCTTCACACCAAAGTTGCTCGATCAGTAGAGCGTGCGAAGATCCTGGGTTCGAGCCCCATTCAGGTTAATCGTCTTTCTCCTTGCGAGGATAAACGACTGGGAAGGAACTAGAAAAATGTAGAGTATGCTAATCACAACTGTTGTCGATTCTGCCTTTAAAAAATAAGCCTATCCTGTTTGACGACATGAAAATGGATGACATGGAGATCAGTGGCCCCGCCATTAACTTCATGAAATTATGGACATTAGAATTGGCCTCATCATGTTAGTATGACGTTGACCTATATTGCAACGGTTGCAGATTTTCCTTCAGTTTCCTTTTTTGGTTGTGCTGATTAGGTGAGCCCGTCTCGTCCTGCCGGTCTTTGTGTGTATGATGTGCTTGATCAAGTTGAACGCATGCGAACCGTTTAAGAAGGCAACAGCTCTATGATCTTTCAGCACCTGAGGCATGGACGCAGCGCAGCATTACTTTTTTTTGTCAAACAGTGACCTATTCGTTGTACCTCGATTCACATTGATCTTTACTTTGTCCATTACTCGCTTTTGATGATAGGGACGGGGAGGTAGGGTTTACTGACAGCAAAGATTTGACTAAGTTTCTAACTGTCCGGTAAATGATAATGACATGATCGCGCGATCATCTGGTGTATGCAATTTTCTGTAATTATCCTTTGCCGCGTATCCTCAGTAATTTACATGTCCAGCAGTCAGAATGCTTATTATTTTTTTAAAGATTTTTCCCAGTAGGAGCAGATAACCCCTACCGTACGTGGTTTTCCTGGTCTTGTCCATCCGTGACTTTTCGATTTATCTTGAGCTTTCATCTTTGGCAGTAATCCTGATGGTTAATTCACTCGTCAGCTCCCTTGAGGATCATGGAGGTGACAAAACAATAATGCGCAATGGAACAAAGCGTTTGTACGTTCACTTGTCCGTTGATGTAATTAAACGAACAGAATAAGAAGCTTGGTAATCAAACTGTCATCCCTCTCCGAGCTTCAGCTATTGCGCTCATTACTTTTGTGTTTCCGGATTTGAACTTATGTTATAGGTATAATGCGTTGTCAAAAACGGACTGTTAAAATTTTGAGGAAGCGTTGATAGGGATAGTGGATTCATAATTCATTCTTTCGCAGCTCTTTGCACAGCCTTTACTACGTGTCATTGTAAAGTGTTTCTCGGCCACTAGCAGTTGTTCCGAAATCACTACTTGAATACGACCCCTTCCTATTGTTGTCGCTGAAGCCCTGAATATATTGTCTGTTATTTATTAGTTGTTAAGCAATCCATTGGGTGCATAGATCATTCGGCGATCCGCAATTGTACGCTCAGTTGCTCGGTCTTCACGTAGTTGTAATGCAAACGGAGAAAATACTTCAAAGTGACCGGTAGTATAATTTACTCACCGCCTTGAAATGCGAGATCAGCGCTAATCTAGCTTTGGATTCAGCAATGGCCGCTTGTTCATTGAACAATTTTAAATGTTTTAAATAATTTAAATCATAAAGGAAAATCTTAAGTAAATCCTTTATATTAAATGTTTTTGTACGGCTCTGGCCGAGAGCTTACTTTGGAAGACTCATCGAATTATTGTCACCGGGATGCTTTGTCTTACGTTTAATGAGTGTTGGAACAGGAAACAGAATTTCCGTCACAGTTATAATATCGGTTTGCGTTACACTTTCATAAAGGGTGTCTGCCAGTCATGAATCGCCCTTTCAGCGCCACAGGTTAAGAATATCTTTTTAACGCGTTATGTACAGCACTGACTTTGACAAATAAAACGAACTGTTCTTCGTATTCACCGAGGACGACGACAGGTGCTGTCAGAGCGAGTGGTCTTCGTTTTCCTTTCTAAGTACTAGCGGTCGTTTGTCTACCTCACAAGGCGGCAGATTTATGACTCTGCCAGTCCTTGATCTCTCGACTGTCCTTCTCGACTAAGATATTTTGTTGGGCGGGTTGACTTTTTAGACGATTTAACCGGCGTCCTGTTTCTTGTCGTTCCTTCGACGTGCACCGAACTGCGGGCCTGCTTGCCTAGTAGACACAAGCCCGAGTGAGTCACGCGGTTTTCACTTCTAGCGGGCGTCGTCGTAGCGACGCAGTTCTCTTTTTTTCCGGCAGGGCCCCCCGAATACGGCCGTGTTGTTTAAGTCGGGCGCGTTTCGCAGACAGGCTTGTAGACGAAGCAGGCAGGCAGCAGCTTTCGGTATATTCACCGTCGAACAGAGAGGCACAGGAATGTAGCACAGTTCGCCCTCATGTGATTTTTAACAGTTCTGGAAGGTCCTACTTAGTTTTGATAGTTCCACGGCCCGGCAGGTCGGACTGAGTGTTGGTTGCTTTATGAAAGTGCTTACTTGCTTCTAGCATCCCATGATCGGAGGTGCAGAAGTCTTCTAGTTTTCATCCCTCGGTTTATCCAGCGGCTAAGAGGCAGCGGGTGTCTGTTATTCGTCATAGAGCTCGTGCGCTTTCGGTCGAAGCAAAAAGAATGCCACGTTTCGCGGTGGCTTCGTTATGCCTTGTTATTGGCTGTAGCGCCAGTCCGTCCCATCCTTGTGGCTACCGTTGTCGAAGAGTACACATACATGAGCATGATATTAACCGGGTGCGGTGATTTGCTTACGATGCAAGTCATGCCGTCGGTGCCGCAAGATTCATGTCCACTCCATCGACCTTCGGTCAGCCCTCAGTATGGCTAGATCTATAAGCCTGTATTCTCAGTAGCATGCGGATTGGAAAATCAGCACGCTTGGAAAACGTTTCGTTCTCACGGTGTACCTTGGCGCTTCGGAGTGAAAATCCCTTACCAAATTATTTTCTATTTCTAAGGAAGTAAATGTGGTAAACGACTCCTGCCTGACCCATGAGGTTGTGAAATGCGAGTACTCAGTTTTCTAGTTAAGATCATGTGAAAGTATAAGATATTTTCTGGCCTCCTATACGACTCGTTCAGTGATGTAGTGACAGATGAAAATACATTCCTCCGAAACCAGCCCTCGTTGCGATTTCTTTGTTTTGAACGCGTACTCGATCTGCACCAACGCATGGACTTTAGAATAAAATGGCTTTTTAGAAATTTTTAGTATCCGCTGATTCGCGTAATAAATCCTAGTTGCGAGGTAGGTTACATCATGGCGAGTTGGAGCTTTAGACCACCTCAAGTTAAACAGTGAGGCGATGAATGTTCCTCACATGAAAGAAGCCGAACCTCATCACTGCCCGCGACGTTGTGTAGAGTTTGTATGCTTCTTGTTCTAACGCGTACCGATCAGCTTTCCCTCGCGGCGGTGGCGCATTGTTAACGCTTGTTCGCTTCCACTCCCTTCGGTGAGGCGATACAGCAGCTGTGACCTGTTCGGCTCTCGCGCGATGGATACGAGCCGCAAAGCACCTGCTCTCGTAGAGCTGCGCCATGGCATTCTCCTCGTTTTTGTGCTGCGGTGGCTGGTGGTTAAGTTTTGGCGGCCGGCACTGTTAACCTCTCTCTCTCTGTCTGAGTTACGGTCTGCGAGGCGCAGTGGAAGTGAACCACGGCCACAGACGGTCGACGTTACGTCCTCTTTGCGATTGTTCGGTGGCAGCCGTCCCACGGTACAATGCCAAGAGCTGCATGGCGCGATTTTTATTATGATAGCTCATTATCATGCACAACTAACTGATCGACATCCATTTCAGGAGCATAGCGACGAACCGCGCTGCGCGTTTTCAGCGCTG